AAGGACATGCATGTCGGTCATCAAGGCCACTTGCTGGCTCAAGAACACCTTTGTTGCGAACGGTGCGACACTGTCCCTCATTCTTCGGCGGAATGTTCTTGAGCAAGTTACCTTGTCGTTTAGGTCAAGGACCCTTGTCGTACGGTTAGCAACATAATGCTCTGGGAGCCGATCAAAATGAGCTATGAGCAAAATGTTCTTGGGGTTGTTACGGCTGTCCACAGTATTAGCTTAGAACCACAGTATTTTTTTCAGTGTGGGTAGAAACGACTAACGACTTTGGTTTCTTCGTTTTGTCTCGGGAAGTATGGCCTATATATTGGGAATGGTCAGGTGAGTCGGGAGGTGAGTCCGGACCGAACCCGGCGTGGAGGACCATCTGGGCAAACAGGAAGGTGGCCTTCGGGCGCTCTCCACTCCACCTCACTTTTTACTCAATCTCACTTTCGCACTCTACTAGAATCAAAGTAAAAGTGTAGTCCGGAGCACGAACACTGCACGAAAACAACCTCAACAACGAAAACGCCGAGTTTTGAAAGCTGCTGACAGCTGCTGAACCATGACAGGTAGGGGAGGGGGTCTTTCTCTCGGGTCTGGCTGGATGGCCCGGACCATTGGTGAGTTATGATAGCAAAGTCAGACGTGCTGCTGGTGATGGCGTGAACCGCCTACCCCACTCGGCTATCCTGCCTGTCCTGGAAACTCCCTACACACGTGACGTCACGGGCTGGATGACGCTGGACACCGCGTGAGTGTCCTGGCGCCCGTCCAGCCTCTCGTCCTCCAGGCGCTGCGCCGCCGGGCCCTGGGAGCGCGCCTGCCGAGAGCGGCGTAGGCCGACCCGCCGGACACGCGTGTGCCGAGGTTGCCTACCCCGCGGGCGTCCGCCACCCCACACGGCAGACACGACACAGCGTCCTTGAGGTTACGGCGCCATACAGCTGGCACACCGGCCGATGCACAACTTAAGATCCGGCTTTTTAGTAGTCCGTTGGACTCACGGCACGTTTGAATTTAGTATGCAATATGCAACTTGGTGATTGAAATTAATCGAGGTGTGCAAGTGATCTGGGGGGTGGGCGCAGAGAATTGAGCGTGTCCCTGAACATGGGACTACAAGTACGGCATTAGCATGTGGCATTCTGCAGTATATTTTTTTTTCCCTACCCCACTACTGCAGCCTACGGCCCGAGCCCCTGCCAAGCGCCGGGTAGGCCAGCCCGCCCGGCACGCGTGCCCCCGCGCTGCCTGCACTCCAGGGGAGGAGCCCTCCCTCAGCCCCAGGCGGCCGGAGGGCACTGTCCGCACGGTCGTGGTCGTGACCCATATATTGCCACCGCCACTCTCTACGTCGGACACTCTCTTACAAAGTAACAAAAAGGCACTTTACGATAGGCAGAAGAGGACCCCCCCCCCTCTTTTCCTCCGCTACTTACGCGAGACTCGACGGACGCCGGCACCGGCCACCGGGCCACCGCAGCGACTCCCGGCCCAGGGGTCGAGTGGGGCGCGAGGAGCGGAGATAGTAGCTCCGCAGCAGGAAAGGTGTCGCCGACGAGGAGGGCGCGCACGTGGAGGACGAGAAGAAGGGCGCGGGCGCGGCCAGTAGTGCGGCCGTATCCGCGGCGGAGGAGGGCATCAGCCCGGGAGCGACGCCGCCGCACGACGAGGTGTGGGGGAGGAGGCGCGTCGCGCGTCGCACGGCCGCTGCCGACCACCTCACCTGTCGTGGCGGGGCGGGGCGCGCACCTCGGATTAGGACGGGACGGCGGATGTACGAAGAGGTGGGGACAGGACGGACCCGGGCCCCGGGGCCCCGGGGGACACGGTGGCATCGCAGTGGTCCCCAGGCCGCCGTCAGGCCCCGACCGACGCGCGCCTCACCATGACCGTCACCGCGACCGGCACCCGCACCGAGAGCGCCGCCAGGCGGTACCTCAAGGTAATGCCTCGGAACCCGCTCCGATGTCGCCGGCTTCCCAAATATATCAGACATTGTCAGAAATTTGTAGGATTCAGATTGATAAAAATGTGGTAAATCGTCGTTTTTCTGCCATTATATAGCGTTCTGATATTACTTTGCTCACTAGGTTGCCCTTATCTCATCCAATAACGTGATTTCTTCCTTAGAGTACATTTTGTACT